GGCGGGGGAGTAGCTGGGGGCGCTGGGGCCCCAGGCTCGGTCGGGGCACGGCTTTAATGCTGGAGTGTAACCCGCTGGGAATCACAACTTCAGCAGCGCCCAGAACACTCTCCTGAAAGGAGCCGAGCTGTCTGGGGGATTGGTCCCCCGAGTTGATCACCGAACAAGAGGCTCTAGCCTGAAATAACTATTCTCCTTCCTTCGAGCTGTGTGAAATAAACGCCCTTCACATGTGACACTGACTCGAGCCCCGTGGAGATGCGAACTCTGCGCAGGCCAGGCTTTAACTCCGGAAAGCGTGAAATGCATGAGGTGTAAGACCTTTTATGTTAGTTGGTGGCGGTACTTTCTCTAGCCCGCCTAGCTCAGTGGTCCCTGTTACAAGGAATAATCCTGAGTCTAGTAGAATCGCAGAAGTTGTCGGTGGGACAAACTCATTACTTTGTCTTGACTAGGAACAGTGGTCATGTTCGGGTGAGCTCAGTTAATAAGTGTTAGAGCCCAACCGAGGGTTGGGAATTTGACTAGTCCAAAAATAATGGCCAAATATTGTCAAAACCGATCAAATATTTTAAGCACTGAGTTATTAGAACAATAAAACAAGATTGTATGGTCTCCAAAAGGCTTAGCCTTAATTAAATACTTATGACTAATTACAAAAAAACAAGTTAGTTAACTGAGTTATTTTAACTCAAAAATGCAAAACACAGTGAAATGAAGTCCTAAAAAAATGAAGGAATGGCATCATAGTGCAATCAAAGAGGTAGGTAGGCAGGCTGCTGCCTGCATCAGGGCTTTCTTGTTGGAATAATTGACAGTATTTGACTGTGGTCAAATGGCAGTCAGTTGATATGACCGGTCAATTGATTGGCTTGCCAAGCCTAACCAAACCTAAACTAAGGGCTTGTCTACACTGGCAATTAACAGCGCTGCAACTTTCTCACTCAGGGGTGGGAAAACACACACACACACCCCAGCGCAGCAAGTTGCAGCGCTGTAAAGCACCTGTGTAAACAGTGCCCCAGTGCTGGGAGCTATGCCCCTCGTTGAGGTGGGGGTTTTTTTGAGCGTTGGCCACGACCACACAAGGCAGCACTTTAGCGTTGCCAGTGTAGATTAGCCCTAAATCACTTTTCCTAGTCAGGACAAATCTTAAAGTTTAAATCATATCTTCCCTATCCCTGCATGAGAGGGAGATGGGTGTGTTATGTTAAACAGGAAAGTTAGCATGGTTGTTGATCTTATCACCTCCATTCGCTAGCAGACTGCTTTGTGGAATGATCTCTCTGCCTCCCTGTTATTTTACATTTTATGCTAAAAAGATTAGATTGTTGCTGTAAACATATTTCACAAAGGTGACTTGTAGTTAAGAATTCTTGACCAAACATCCTTTCGTGGGTTTTTTCCTCCCTGTTCTAAAACAGTGATTCTCATATGTACTCTGCAGAGCTGCTTCTTTCATAGTGATGAATTGTCAGAGTCTTCAAGGAATCTTCCTGTTTTTGTAACCCAGTCTGAGACTTGTTTATTCTGCACTTCAAAAAATACATAAACCTCCCACTGTTCCAACACTACCAATAGAGCTCCACAGTTGATAGGAACAATTGCAGAGCTAATGTAGACAAGGCTCCTGTTTCTCTTACCACTGTGGTGTCTAAACCTGTCCAGTGCAGATCTAGATGGCACAGTGGTAAAAATGCTGATGCCCTGTCTACACAATCATTACCACTGGCAGTAGTGAAATGGACATTTCCCCCCAAAAGCTAATACAAACACAGGTTTCTAGTTATGGTTTCTAGAGTGTTTTTTTGACCAATGCATCTTTTTTTTTGAAGCCCCTCTTTGCCTTTGCTACTTTGTGTCTCAAGTGGTGCAGGCTTTTTGTTTGGTTTTTGGGTGGTTTTAGTATCAATTCAACTGTAATCAAATTTGTGGCTGATACTACTAACATTGGAGGGGGTAATAAATACACTGGAGAGCAAATCAAAACCACAAAGTAACTTGGAGACAATAGAGCAGTGTGGAAGATTCCTAATTATTAGCTGTATAACTAGCTTCCAAAGGTTCCAATCAGGTCAGGGTCCCATTGTATTGGGTATTGTGCAAATATAAGACAGTCCCTGCCCAAAAGAACTTGCAAGCGAAAGCCCTGTACCTCTGAACAGGAAATAAACAGAACAGTGATAAAACAGGAGGTGTGAGGATTGAGCCAACCAGCTGCACCCATCACAAAGCAAAACTATTTTCATGTCTCCTCTAATACTCTTAATATTATTTTTTAGTATACAGACTGACTAACATTTGTTACTCTGGAAACTATTTTTAATGGAACCAAGCATTTTAGCTGACTCAGGTCGGATTGGGAGGGAAGTGTCCATCAGACCAGGTGGTTCACAATATGAAAAGGTTGAACTGTTCTCGGTAACGGCAAAATTGAGAGTAGGACTCTTTTATGTAATCCACTTAACAGAAATATGGACTTAGGCCAAACACTTAGTGCCAGGTTTAAAGGGGGATTATATTTGTGTATCAAATATTAGTGCAAGTTGCAGTGATAAAACTAGATGTGTATACCCACCTTCCCTCCTTGGGTCCTGGAGGTCTTTGCAAGCATTAATTTATTATACCTCACAAAACAACCCATGGATGTAGGCAAGTATTACAGATGTGGGAAAAGAAGTCAGTGAGAAATCAGGTGACCTGCCTGAGGTGTCACCGTAAGTCAGTGGCAGTGCTTTTTTCTATCACGTAATGTTCTTTTGTGGAAGGATATTCATACAGGTTCGGATATTATGTGTGTGGCTTATAAATGAGTGACATCAACATACTTTGTGGCTATAAGTGTTGGGGCACTGATAGCTGGGAAGGGATGTGTGAGGTGGTGTATGTCGTTTTAGAGCCAGAGGATGCCATGGGAGATTGTTTCAAGATTCTTTGCATGGAATTTTCATCTATTTTGCTTCAGACATCTATAGTACCCTGTTTGTTCTTTCACTGTGGAGTTGTTCCTTTGCCCATTTAGAAGGCTGAGGCCTCTGGGCTTGGACACACTAGCTCTTTCTTTGGTGTAACTTAAGTCGCTCAGAGGCATGGAAAAGCCACCCCCGGCTTAAGCGCCAGTGTGGACAGCGCTATGTTGGCGGGAGGAGCTCTTGTGCTGACATAGCTACCGCAGCTCAGGGAGGTGGAGTAATGATGCAGACGGGAGAGCGCATAGAGCGTCTGCACCAGCAGCGGTGCAGCTGTGCCACTGTAGCTATTCTAGTGTAGACTAGCCCTCTGTTTTGTGTAGAGGTGAGAGCACAGGAGGCTGTTACCAGCTCTCCAAGTGTCAAGGGGGCAGTCTGAAACCAGCGTGAATGCAGCATTTGTCTCCTTGCCAAAGGCTTTCAGTGACTTCACTGAGTGCGTGTGAAAGCTGCTCAGAAACGTAATAAAGATGAGCTTGTCCACACAATTGCCAAGAATATCTAACAAGACTGCTTTAAAAACACTGGGACACACTACATAGGTTTCTCTTCTCTATTTTGCTGGCTTTTCTTCCAAACATGGCTTTATGTGAGTTAAAAGGGGCCTGGCACTGCCCCTAGTATAGAGGCCAGAAAGATGCACACTAACTGAAAGAGCAAATCACACAACGAAAGGGAAAAACTCAGTGTATATGGTGTCAGTCACCACTCAGCACCCCTACCCCTCCATTTCCACCCTTTGAGTACACCTACAATATTGTCACTGGGTTTGCAAGTGAACTTGGAAACTGGGGTCAGAAGGAAGTCCCAAAGCAAGCCCTATATAGTGCCTGTGATACGACTAATGTTACTGCCATCCGAGGTTAGCCTGTGTGAAATAAGGTCCTGGTGCGGTTCCCAGTAGACACGTCACTGGCCTGCTTGCTGGCAGTCTTGGCAGAGAGGCCACTGATTTGAATGGGCTTTGAGACTGGCTTTTTCACCCCCCCCGGAGATGGTCCCTCCAGATTAGGTTTGAGGCGTGCTGGCAGACAGGCATGGAGAGAAGCTTGCAGGGTGTTTGTTCTGTGGATAAACTGTGGAACTCAGTTTCTTGTGCTGGCATCTTCAGTGGCTGTAAAGTCTCACGCTGGGTGCACGCACTTTTTAAAATAGAATAAAAACATCTAGTGAGCTCCCGTTTGGCCAAGACACAGGCAGGGGACTTAGCTCTAGACAAGTGTCTGTTTTGGAAAGCACTGACAGACTCACAGATTAACTGGTGGCCGTTCTTAACGACTTCATAAATTAGATTCACAACAATCAGTGGAACTTCCTGCTGGAATTGTTTGCTCATGCAAGTCTGGTGATTATTTGGGAGGAACTTCTTGGAGAGAATTTGGCATGTGACTCTGGCTGATGCCATTCAGTGCTGAGTTTCACACTTGGAGGAACATCACTTGTCTGGTGGTATGATTGTTACACTGTGTAGTTGGGAGGACCTTGTTGAGACACATCAGGAATTTCTGGTGGGGAAGGGTTCACTTAGCCTCACAGCAATAAGGGAGTTCTCTCTCTGGTCTATCTCAGTGAGATTTAACTTCCAGGTCCGCAGAGAAGCGCAGAATTCCTGTGCAGCTCTCTGCTTGTGGAGAGATCTTAGAAGTAGCCTTGTTTGAAAGAAAATGCTGCTGCTTTTTCTGTGTTTTCCTCTCCTCCAGATTTTGTTGTGCCTGTCCCTTTGATGGGTTTATCACAATGGAATGGGAACAGTCGTTCTTGTCTTGCTATCCAACTTCAGAGTGAATAATGCTGCTTCAGCTGCTTGTTTTCTCTCTCATTTGGGGCTTAGTGGTTTTGTGAGAAACTAAATAATGAAACTTAGTCAATTATGACTCTCATGCTTAAAGGTTTTCTGTTGGGATCTGGAATTGTGTAACTCCATGGTACCACTTGTTGTCACACATGGTGCAACGTCCCAGTACACCAATGGGATTTTCCATCATTAGAGTGATTTTTCTTTTTGAAATATACAGTGTAGGTGAAAGCCACAGTTGCACAGACCCGTCATTCTGGAGGTCTGCTTTGATGTATCAATCAGAATGTCATGCCGATGTTTTAAGGCTCCTTTACATTGCCAGAGTGGGGTAAAGGACAGTGTGGCCTTAGAAATGCTTACAGTGCTTCAGTGATTAGAACTAGTCTAAATTTTTGGACTGAAAAAATTTCCTATCAAAATGTGCTCCATGAACTGTTTGCTACTGACCTTTCTGGAGATGGTCAGTAGCCAATATAAATTGTGAGTTTGATTCCCCAGCCCTCACTTGCTTTTCAATTGCCTATGATGTAACACTGAGCATACGGCTGCATATATTTGTTGACTGATAACTAGAAATAAAGAGCTACAAACCTAGCTACATTACTATTTGGTAAGGGGGGTTGGGGATTTCCTCCAGTGCTCCCTACTTCCATTGTATTGTAGTTTAAATAAATTACCAAAATAATTGAAACGAGAGTGATTATATTGCATTATTTTGACAAAACGTGCAGAATTTTAAAATATCGTGTACATAATTTTTAATTTTTTGGTGCAGAATTCCTCCAGGAGTTAAGTAAGCAGAGTTGGGGTTTTTTTTTAAGGAGGCAGGACACAGTCCTACAACCTTTGAATTCATTTAGCTCCCGTAGCAACCTAAAGGAGTCTCGCATGTGGAGGAACTGCTGGGCTAGGCCTTGGAGTTGTGCAAATCGGTTGGCCCACGTCCATATCGTTGCAGCTAAGTTTCTTTTTTGTCTCGAAACAAGGAAGCAAACCTGCAAATGTGAAAGCAGAGGTCCTGATAGCAGCATTAACTCCTTCCATTGCACATGCTGTGTGTAGTTAGGCATTGGACAGCTATGCCAGGAATCTAAACTGGAGAGTTCCCTGAAACCCCACCTATCTCCTGCCTCCTCTTTGTCCTCTGGGCTTCACCTTCACGGCCTTGCACAATCTCATCTCTGCCTATGCTGTATCTTTGCTCTTGTTCTCTCCTCTCAATCCTCTCTCCTTAAGGTTCTCTGTATCTGCAGCTCTCAGCTTCACACCACCTTTCTGGCTGGCCCTTGCACCTGGAACAGTCTCCTTCTGTCAGATGTCCACTGAAGACCTGCTTTCTCAAATCCTTCCTGTGATGCCTCCAGGCCTGCTCATTTCCTGAGCCACACCCCTGTATTCTGTTTTATCCAATTGCATTGTAAGCTCCTCAGGGCAAGGTTTGCGCCTTACTCTGTTTCGTAAAGTGCAGTGTAGGGTTCTGACACTATATAAACATTAAGTGTAGTGGCCGTGACACAGCTGGCAGCTGTGGGGAAGATGTGTGATGCAGAGCAAGGATGATTTCTCCTCTTAGCGTTTTATCCACCTACGAGACCTTTTTCATCTTAATGGGACCAAACTGGGGTTCATGCAGAGGTTTACAATATAAAGCGTTTATTCTCTAGATTAGATTATTGGATTTGGGGAATATTAGTAAAGCTGTAATTTTGTGTTGCAGTTGAATGAATATGAGAAATCCGAGAACACCCCTGGATCCAGGTGTGGGTTGAGAGGATCCTTTGTGGGGGGCAATCTGCGTGCGGGCGGCTCAGTGGGAGATCCGGGTTCAGGGGGGATCTGGATGCACAGGGGCTTGTTGGGGGGGTTCTGGGTGCAACAATAATAGGACTCTGCAGGGGGGTCCAGGTGAAGGTGATTGGGGCTCAGTGGAGGGGGAGGTCTGGGTGTGTGGGGATAGAGCTTGGCAGGGGGGTCTGGATGTGGGGGGCTCAGTGGGGGGTCCAGGTGCTGGGGGAGTGGGGCTCAGTGGGATGGGGATCCAGGTGCAGCTGGTTGGGGCTCGGTGGGGTAGGGATCCGAGCCTGGGTGGCTCGGTGGGGTGGTCCAGGTGCAGGAGGAGTGGGGCTCATCAGGTGGGTTACTGAGTGAAGGTGAGTGAGGCTCGGCGGGAGAGTCTGGGTATGAGGGGGTCTGGATGCACAGGTGTTGGGCAGATGGGGGAGCTGCTCCCTGTACAGGGATTCCCCTGCAGCTGAGGAGTGACGGGCGCAGGAAGCAGGGTGGGGGGAGAAATCTGGGGGTGGGTCTGACCCAGCCCCGGATGCCGTGCAGGGGAAGAGGAAGTCCCGTCCTCCCCAGCCCAGCCAGGTCTAGCAGCTGAGCCCAGCGCAGGGTAGGAGCCACCCCCTGGGTTTTCCCCAGTCCTGCCCCATAGTGATTTACCTCTCTGACAGCTGCCCTGGGCACCTGATATCATAGGCACCGACTTCCCCTCTGCCCAGTGGGTGCTCGACTCCCCACCCCTGCACTGCCCTCGCCCCACCCCCATTCCACCCCCTCCCCAAAGTCCCCAGCCCTGCTCCCTTCCCCCAGTCCCCACCCTGCCTCTTCTCCGCCTCCTCCCCTGAGCGCATCACATCCCCACTCCTACTCCTCCCTCCCGGAAAGTTCTAAGTCCCGCCAAACAGGTGTTGGGGGACGGGAAGTGTTGGGAGGGAGGGGGAGGAGTGGGGATGCGGCACACTCGGGGGGGGGGAAGAAGGAGGAGAGGGGAGCTTGGCTGCTGGTGGGTGTGGAGCACCTGCTAATTTTTCCCCGTGGGTGCTCCAGCCCATGCCTGAAACATACTGCTGGGGAGGGTCACATGACCGCTCCTGTGGCTTCCCCATCAGAAAGTCATTTTTCTGCGGGGAAGCAATGAAATCTGCAGGGGACACAAATTCTGTGCATGTGCAGTGGTGCAGAATTCCCCCAGGAGTAAGGTTACAGCTGGAGTTAGCACCACTCATGAGCTGCTAATCAAATTGCTGTGTGCAACTCACGTGTTGAGTGAAAATGTTGTTTTGCAGTGTGGCTGCTCTTACTTGAGCTAATTGTTGCAGGGAAGACAAGTCCTGTGAACAGCAGCCCAGAGGTTGCTGCCGGAGAATTACTGAAGTGCACTGCTGGCAGAAATCTAGTGGCGGGTCTAATACCCAGCTCTATAGTGAAACATGGAGTTGCCAGGGTGAAGAATAATGTGTATTGTGCTTGGGAATAGGAAAATCAGGTGTCAGCCTGGGGAATGTTACCCACCTATCAGATTATGTAGTGTGCAGCAAGAATGTAAAGGGGGGAGGGGGAGGGTCTAGATACAGCGTGTCAGGGAAAGGTGTCTTTGTAGGGAGTGGAATGAGAAAAATGGTAAGGAGATCATCAAGTGTCCATGGTCAACTGCTTCAGAGCTCGTTACCCCAGATCTGTAGCACTTTGCAGTTTTGGTCTATAGTGTATTCCACCTAAGACTTTTGAAGCACTTCATGAATATTAATTGAGTTTCACAACACGCATCTGAGGTAAGTAGGCAGGCAAATATTATCCCTACTTTAAAGATGGAAAAACAGAGGTGGGAAGTGACTTGCCAAAAGTCAAAGTCAGGAATAGAACCCAGTTCTTCTGACTCAGTTGTACTTGAATTGCTAGACCATGCAGCCTTTATAAATGGCATTAGCGGAGTGGGGAATTTCTTGTCCACCATGTCACCTTTCTTCCATCAGGTTTTGCTCTGATGTGTCCCCCGCAGGGGGTGCAGCTGTGATATCTCTTTTCCTTTCCAGGAAAGGCTGATGTGTTTGCTGATGCTGCTTGCGCTCTTTCACGAAACAAGCTCCTTCTATGTACCAGGTGTAGCTCCTATCAACTTCCACCAGAAGGACCCCGTAGAAATCAAGGTAGGATGGATTTCGCAGGAACAAAAATGGCAAGAGGGAACACGTTTAATTATAGCACAGTAGTCAAGTGGGACGACCAAAGTCAAGCTTTGGAATCCTGCCTCTAAAATTCAGTGCTTATGTAAAATGTCAGTAAAAAGGGGCTTCTGGGACCATACCTGTCGTCCTCCCTGCTCAAAGTCCCAACTTATTTTTTTATTCTCTTCGGTTTCTCTCTTTGGCCACCCATTTCTTCTCTCAAGTATTTTTTCGAACCAGGCAAACAGCTGCACCAGAATCCGTATAGACGTCGCTCTGCTTGGCACACAAGGTTTCCCAGTGGCATTGGTTACAAAGTGAAAGTAACCAAAACTTCTCTGTCTCCAATATTGTGCATGATATATACATGAGGTAACTGAGTGAAACTGCCATCCGGGCAGTACTTGGGCCACAAGCAAAGCGTGAAGTGGCTGTGTCCTGCAGATGATGGGATAAAGCCAAGGATAGAACCAAACACTTTAAAGTTGTTAGTTCAAGTCAGTTCTCACGAGCTCTCTCCCCTCGCCAGGAATAAACTGAACTCCACAATATGCCCCCCACATCCATCCTCCAGACCTTAAATGCCCACGGAGATGGCAAAGGCTGCCACAGGGTGTTGGCACTCCCACAGAATGTTATTAATACCCAACTCTGGAACTGCGTGTGCCCTGCTGGGAGAGAGTTTAGACTTGCTGTCTAGACAGCAACAATCTTAAAGCCATTTATTTATTTATTCTAAAGCTGTGGGCTTAATTTCTTACAGGGCATCCAGAAAAGTAGATGTCTGTGGGGATGCTGGGGTTGGCTAGTCATATACCAAGCACAGTGCAACTCACTTTCTGGCCACAAATCCCCTGACCCAAGCTATTTTTAAGCAAACAAGGCTAGCCCCAGGCTACAGTAAAATCACAAAGTAGCCTCAGGAGGGATTGGATTGGAATAGCAACTCTCAAAAGGATTTCAAAAGCCACATGTGTCCTCCAGCAATGAGACCAGCTGGCAAATTTTCCTATACGTTTCCAATAAGTGAGGTTGGCCTAAGTTACAAATAGCTCCTGTTTGTCAGAACAGATGTGCCCTTTATATTGGATCTCTCTGCACCTCAGTTGTGCCCTGCGTTTTTGTGGGTGCCCGCCAGCAATATTCAGTTTTGTCAATATCCGTTGTGTCTTCAGAAGCAGCTTCTGCTCAACTCTTCATATAGGATTGAGCACATGACTAGGGCCAGGTCTACACTACTAACTTTTGTCAGCACAGCTGTGTTGGTCGGGTGCACGGAGGGTGATCTCTGACCACAACTGTGAGTAAAAGCCTCCACTGCAGAAACAGTTATTCCTGCAAAAGTGCAACTTTGCTTGGATGAGCTTCCTACACACCTTGTGTAGAGCTGGCCTAGGATTTTTCCAAAGGCGACGACAGTGGTAACGCCAAACCGTTTTCACGAACTTGAGACCCATTCATGTGCTTCAGAAAATAGGCATGGGAGAGATTCAGGAGGACGGTAGTTATAGGGGAGTGACACTCCAACTACATTGGGCACATCTGCTTCAGGCATTTCTTTGCTACTTAAAGATGGGGCTGCTGCAGCAGGTATGGTACATAAAACTATTAATAGGCTGCAGAGGTGAAGAAGTCCGGACTTAAACATAACTTCCATGTCCCCTTTCCTAGAACAGGGCTCCAAATAAAGGCTTGGAACTAATGTATCTGGGTATCTGTTTGTCTTGAGAAGAAGACAGGTGCATGGTAAAATTTGAGAGGGATCCCCTTCTATTATACACAATGGAGTTCACTCCCCCACTGCTGCCCAACCGGTCCCTTACAAACACTTCATACTCAATTCTGGCTCTCTGGTGCCCTAGTTAACTTTGCTGATGGAGGTGTCACTGTGATAGTTCCTGTGCGTAAGAGAATTGCTCCACTAAGCCTGATGTAGCTGGTGGAGTTGGTAACCTTAGAGACTTCAGTTACTGGAGAGTTAACGTGCCGTGGTTGGTGAAGGTATTTCCTACACTTAGTGGATTTATTGTTTGGTGGTGGTAGGAAGGGCAGTTCAGATAGTCTCAGTGGGGGGAAGCCAATCTTACAAAGTGTTTTTTCCCTTTGAAATTAGTCTCCTGAATGAGACTTCAACTTCCAGCTGATGTAGGGAGCGTAGGAAATGGTCTGAGTTTTTAGCGGGTCACAGAGGGGAAGATAACAGCTGCTTCTTTCTTCAGGCTGTGAAGCTCACCAGTTCACGAACCCAGCTGCCATACGAGTACTATTCCTTGCCTTTCTGCCAACCCAACAAGATAACGTACAAGGCTGAGAATCTGGGTACGTATCCATCATACAGCACGATCTCAGTATGTAAATATGTTGCTGTCTAGGCCTGTGAAATGTCCTAGGCTGAGCAGTAGCAGCACCTGTACTTGGAACACAGTAATATTTGCAGCCCTACCTCTTGCATGGTACAGCTGTGAGTGACTCCAATGTGTGCATTTTAAGTGGGAGAAATAATTGCAAACGTAGCTTCTGATAACCTGTGACTTAAAAGAGGGGAGGCGCTCTCCAGTGTGCCATGCTCTTCTTGCTAGTTGATCAGAGGCAGCAGCAGGAAGCTGGAATTCCCAGTTAGCCAAGAAGTGATGGGAAACGCTTCTTTGGTGGGTTATTTCTGTAGGTCCCTCAATGTACTTGGTGCTTCAGACAAACAAGACGAGATCCTTGCTCCAAACTGTCCTTTCGCATCTCTTTCCATAAGGCTCTGCTGTCCACACTGTAACTCGCTGAAGCTGCCCTTGTTGCTCCATGATATGCAGCATGCTAGAAACCCGATGGCAGAATCAGTGTTGCTTGATAATGGTGTCCCTCACCCCTCCCATTGTGTCTCTGTTTCCCAGGTGAGGTTCTGCGGGGGGACCGGATAGTAAACACGCCATTCCAGGTCTTCATGAACATAGAGAAGAAATGTGAGGTTCTGTGCAACTTTCCCAACAAGCCAGTCACCCTGACAGTGGAACAGAGCAAGCTGATTGCAGAGCGTATCCGGGAGGATTACTATATCCATCTGTGAGTTGCCACCGAATCTCACTGTGCCAGGGTTGGGTTGGAATCGCTGCGCTGTGGGCTGGTTTGATTTGAAAATGTTGTGTATCTTCAGTATTGCTGATAACTTGCCTGTGGCCACGCGGCTGGAGTTCTATTCGAATCGTGAGGAGGAGGAGAAGAAGAAGGAAAAAGACGTGCAGTTTGAGCATGGATACAGGCTTGGTTTCATGGACAGTAATAAGGTAACCTGTTCTTTAGGCTTCCTGTATAAAGCCTCTGTAGGATCCCTGGAAAAGCCTGTTCTGGAGAACCTTGTGGGCCTCCTTCAAAAAGTATAAAATGCACCATGATGTTAGATGCTGCCACCAGGTGCTCCTGAATGGCAGTATGCAGGACTGAAATATGGTATTTAGATCCTCAGGCCTAGGCGATGTCTTCACTTAAACCACTACAGCAGCATCGCTGCCATGCTGCTGCAGCACTTCAGTGTAGACACTCCCCAAAGGGATGGGAGGGGTTCTCCTGTCGCTGTCGTTAATCCACCTCCCCGAGAGGCAGTCGCTAGGTCGACGGAAGAATTGTTCTGTCAGCCTAGCGCTGTCTACACTGGAGGTTAGGTCAGCTTAAGTACATGACGTGGGGATGTGGATTTTTCACACCCCAGAGCAAAGTAGCTGAGTCCATCTAATTTTCTAGTGTACGCCGGCTCTGAGGGAATGGAAAAAAGAGTTAGAGAAATGGTGTGGCCTATTGATTAGGGGACTGGGAGCCAGGACTCCCGGGATTTGTTCCTAGCTCTGCCACTGATTCACCAGATGACATTGAGGATACTTTGTGCCCCCTCTGTAAAGTGGCGGTAGTTACGTCCCAGGAGTGCTGTGAGGATTATCTAACGCTTGTAACTTGCTTTGAGATCCTTGTATAAATGCCACTGAGTATTTCTCACAATATTTTTATTAACAAAAGGAACTGGCTGGAATACAATCATGGAGAGTGTATTAATTCAGTTTAGAGAGCAAAAGTCAGAATTCACTCGAGTAAAATCCAATTGTTTAAGTGTGACGCAAACAAATATGATTACAGAGGGAGGTAAAGGGCATATAATAGTAGGGAAAATAAAAAGACATTGGCCAAGTTATAAGAACAGCCACCTGGCCACTTTGTGGAGATTTCAGACTTGTGTACAGTTGTATGTGTAGTTTGCAAGCACAATTACCATTATTGCATGTGCCAATGGCCAGCTGTGTGTCTGACTCATCATTTGTTCATGTGCGCGGTGTAATTGTGTGTGCAGTTGCACATGCACTTCTGATCACTGGCTTTAAGATCTTCTGGATGAGGGAAGCCTTATGTACTTTTATGGAGCTGCTGTGCTTTGCACATGTGTGATCAGGGCTGCAGTTGCCTTGAAGAAGCTGTGACTAGCATGTGACAGCCAGGACCCCCTGCAGTATATGTATTTGGTGTACTAGAGAAACATTGTAGAGCAGTAAGTTCAAAGGAGCACCTGTTGCTAGTGGAGTCATGCCATGCAAAATGCTGTTGAACAGTTGGCTGGGTTCTGCCCCTTAGTATATCTCTGGTCACCTGATCTGAAATCGAGTGAAACATTCATTCCTATTTTGACCAAAAGCCTGAGACAGTTACTGAGAGAGAGTAAAGGAACAGGATCTCTCGAGAGCTCAGAGAGAAATAGAGAACGCAGCCTTGCTGTGTAGCCCAGATTATCTGAGGCTGTTAGAGTCCTTAACCTTCTGGGGAATGTGCAGCTGTTGCCCCAGGTGTTGTCTATTTCTCCCTTGAGCCACTAACACTTTTTTTAATGTCAATCTGTTTTAGTTCTACCTGCACAACCACCTCTCCTTCATCCTTTACTACCACAGAGAGGAGGTGGAGGAGAATCAGGAGCCCACCTACAGGGTTGTGCGGTTTGAAGTGGTTCCCCAGAGCATTAAACTTGAAGGTAAATTATGTAGTCTACCCTGGCCTGTAAGGATGGCAGCAGAGCTCCCTACAGTCACTGCCATCTGCATTGCAGGTCCAAAGAGGAACCTAAATCCCAGGTGGCAAGTTCCAGTTGCAAAGCAGACTTGGACATTGGAATGAGGGATTTTGTAATATGCCCCAGTAAATAAAAGCACCTGCTCTGATACAAAAGCAGTGGGACACATGCTTGAAACCGAAATGAACCACATGAGAAAACTGATCAAAGGAAATATCCTTTTGCATAATTAACCTGTGGAACTCATTGCCACTAGCTTTCACTGAGGCTATCAAGGTTCAAAAAGACAGTGGACATAGACATTAATATGGATAAGGAGAACGTCCAAGGCTACACTGGATGGAATTTTTAAAAATTTCTTAGATGGTATATAAGTCCACCTGTTTCAGGGCATGAGCCAACCTCTTGCTGTTGGGGGTTGGAATGAAACTCCCTGTATGGGTTCTGTTATCCTATGCACCTTCCTAAGCAGCATCTGATATCAGACCCTGTTGGAGACAGGGGATGGAAGTAGATGGACCTTGGTCTGATCTAGTATGGTAATTTTTATGATCCTGCTACCTCCCTGAGCGTGGGAGGAGGTGGGGGGTTGATGGGTCTTCAGTGTTTCTGGTGGAGCTGAGGATCCACCTGCTTATTTCTCTTCCAAACCCCTGTCTTATGAGGCTCCCTCTGTAGCCTCCATCTTTCCAGCTAAGGGCGGGCCTAGCCAGGGTTCCTTTCAGGGTGGGTTCATGCTGGTCCTCTATTGGCTGGAAGGATAGCTTTTGAACAATGCAGAGCTGCGCTCAGCCTCCAAGGAAGGGAACTTGCTGTCCCCTCAGTGCATTCTGCTCTCTTCAGTACGAGCAAGACTGGGCCTTAGATTTCTGGGGGAAGCTTGGTTGCCCTTCCCTTTGTGTGGTGGAGGGAAATGCAATGTGGTACATACAATGTGTGGATGTTTTCTCCTATAGATCTGAAGGCAGATGAGAAGGGCACTTGTATGCTGCCTGAAGCTGCAGGCTCAGCCCCTCAGGAGATAGATCCCACTAAGAAGAACCAGCTGCTCTTCACCTACTCTGTCCACTGGGAGGTGAGGCAGTAAGGAGGGACTTGGCTGACCTGTACCCTGGGAGGAGGGAGGAGCATGTGCTGGGCTCCAGAAAGAAAAGTGCCGTGGGTGTTCGTGTTGCAGACAGGGGAGTAATGAATGATGTGTGGGTACACTGTGATGAGCAAGTAGGGGGAGCTGATGGCTTTTGGGGTGTCTTATCAGTTTCCGAACATGCTGCTCTCTTCCTCCAGGAGAGTGACATTAAATGGGCTTCTCGCTGGGACACCTACCTGACCATGAGTGATGTGCAGATCCACTGGTTTTCCATCATTAACTCAGTCGTGGTTGTCTTTTTCCTTTCAGGTGAGTGAGACCTTGTGGTGGGGGTTAATCTCCCCATTGCTAGCCACTGGGGGTCAGGAACTTGCTTTAGCCGTCAGCTGCAGGTGGGCATGTCTGAATTCCCAAATAGGTGCAGTTAAAAAAAAGGTATTGACATGGGTCAGTTTGTGTAAAATTCCCACCCCAGGCAGCACCTTTTGGAGTCAGCCCTTGGCTCTTGTTTCTTGTATGGTCAACTGGACTTTGGGGTGGAGGAGTCCATTCACGCTTTGAGTATTGGGGTGCAACTGTCTCTGCTCCGTAGAGTTCCACAGCTTAGTAGGGAGACTGGGAACAAACCTGGAAAGACAACATGGCCTTGTTTGTGCATAAATACTATTCTTTGCCCTCTGAGGGCTTGATCCTATGCTCACTGAAGGCAATGGCAAAGCTCCAATTGACATAGTGGTGCAGGAGGAAGCTCTGGGAGAGCAGCTGAGTTGCCTAAGTCATGTCGCTTGGGACCAAGCACAGAAGGAATGAGCCAAGGAACTGTGAGTCCGAGTTGTGGTTCTGTAGCATCTGGGAGAGTAGGCATGGCAGGGTTACTTGGGAGCCTTCTAACAATGTCTCATTCACTCTGGGTTTGTGTGTTTTAGGTATTCTCAGCATGATCATTATCCGCACTCTCAGGAAGGACATTGCCAACTACAACAAGGAAGATGACATTGTACGAAATGTATCTATTCTCCTGGGGGGGAGCTGTGTAAAACCAGAACGTGTGGGAAGGGACCCTCTCTGAAGACTTGATGCATTTCCCCCACCCCCACTTTGTTAGAAGCACTATTGAAGGTGGGAGGGGCAGCTCTGTAATAAACTGATGGGGAGGATAGGATGGTTAGGCGAGCCACTGGTGCATTCAGCAGCTGAGCTGCTCAGCCATGCTGCTGGGGGTTCATTACCACTAACATGATTAAACTCTTCCAGACTTACTGAGTAACTAGCTCAGTGAACACGTGTCCTGGTATGTGACAATCCAGATCTAAAGCTGTGTTTAGAGACCTTCAGTTTAAAACCCAAGAAGAACGCAGAGTCTCTTGTCAGAATGATGGAATCCCTGAAAGGGAATTGGTGTAGGGAGTGTGAGACATCCTGAAGGAGCCTGTGCTTCCATCTGGCTGATAGAATCTTAATGCCCCCTTTTCTGGTTTTGCTACAGGAAGATACAATGGAGGAATCTGGTTGGAAACTTGTGCATGGAGATGTCTTTAGGCCTCCACAATATCCCATGATTCTCAGCTCACTACTGGGCTCTGGAATTCAACTCTTTTGCATGATCCTGATAGTTATCTGTGAGTATCACCACTGGGTTTGAGCAGCCTTAACATGAGGGGAAAGAGAATTATCTAATATAGGCCTGATCACCAGCAGAGCTTCAGCAGCTTGCCTTGTCTCGGGATGAGCCTCTCCATTTGCTGGCTATGACCTGTTTCAGGGCAGATTCAGACTACAGAGCCATACTCAGTAGTTCCAGGTTTCTAGGTGCCTTTCCCTAAGGAAAGCACCCATATTTTTCTATGTAGTGTCAGCTGGTTTTGAGTGGTTTGGATGCTGGGCTCCACCAGTGATCTGAGAGCTCTGTGTTGGGCTGGCTGGTGGGGTTGTGGGCAGACTCTAAAAGGTAAAGCACACACTGTCTTCCTGAGCTGCACCTGTTAATGTAGTTAGAAACACTAAGAGGTTTGACGTGTATTGCTCTTATTTGAGACCAAAGCCTTGGTGCTACTTGGAAGGGTCTTATCTCCCTCCTTGTCTCTGGTCACCAGAGGCTGTTGGTCTCAGGTCTGAGAAAATGAAGTTCTCTGTGGGAGGTGAAGCGATCCCAGGCTGCTGGATTCTCCAGCCAGATGGTGCAAACCAGGGCTCCTCTAGTGAGCATTCGCTAGAGCATGTTCATCAGTTGCCACCTTTCTCTTGTGTTTTGCTTTGCAGTTGTTGCCATGCTGGGGATGCTGTCGCCTTCTAGCCGGGGCGCCCTGATGACTACAGCCTGCTTTCTCTTCATGTTCATGGGGTAGGTGTGTCTCCTGCCCTGCGCCATGATGCTGTTGCCTGTCAGGTAATGGGAAGTAACCTGGCTTCTCTCCTGTTTTCCATCCCAGGGTTTTTGGTGGGTTCTCTGCTGGCCGTCTTTATCGGACGCTGAAAGGCCACAGATGGAAGAAAGGCGCCTTCTGTGTAAGTGACTCTTTGAGTCTCTTTGCCATGCTTGCCCAAGGCAGAATACACTTCTTGCTTTTGATCGCAGTTAAGCATCCTGCTGTAGGCATTGCTGGGCAGGTGGGCATTGCCCAGCTGTATCAGAGAGAGAGAAGCTGGGTATGGGGTTGGGGTCCTGGCAGGTCTGTGGGGGGGGAAATCCTGACAAGGAAAGAGGTCTTTTGGGTATGGACCACAATAAAGCAGAAGGGCATGGGGGTAGGATCACAGGCATGCATGAAGTGGAGGGGTGTTTTTTCTGCACCTAATTTACCCCAGTGATGGGCCCATTAAGAACACCTGGGGTAGTGATGCCCAAACTTTTCCTCTTGTGCTCCCCTCCTCCCCCCCCCCATAATGGAATGTGTCCACACACACCCCAGGCCAGGAGGGGTAGGAGGTTGCAGGCGGCGGTCGGAGACTGGGGAGCGGGGGCGTGCCCCCACAGTTTGGGGACCAGTGGCCTGGGGGATAATGAGCTCCCACTCTTTTAACATGTGCTCTTTCCCACAGACGGCAACCCTGTACCCTGGTGTAGTCTTCGGGATCTGCTTTGTCCTGAACTGTTTCATATGGGGGAAGCACTCCTCTGGAGCGGTGTGTACCCACTTCTCCTTGCAAACCTGGCTGGGTAGGGTGATCATAGAGTTCCTGGGAGGGTGCTTAATTTCTGGGTTCCTCTACTTTATGGAGGTGTCTGCAGTCAAGAGCTGGGCCTGTAATGGTGAGTGTTTCAAAGCAGGTCTAGGCTGGTGGGGTCTGGAATGCTGTTGAAGTGAAGTGTTCCATCTGCAAATGCCCTGGTGAGGGGACTTTCCTTGGCTGTGCCTGTTGGGAGGGCCACAGTCTGACAATCAAACACACAAAGACAGGAACAGTTTAAAAAAGCAAATAAGTGCGTGTTGAAAAGGACCTGCCTGCACACCATGAGGTATTTGAAGCTATCCCTGGACACAGGTAGGATGTGAGGAGAGGTAAAAGGGATGCCTGAACCCCAGGCAGGGTGGAGCCCAGATCAGCTGCATTTCCAGCTGTAACTAAGAGGCTGCAGGGGAGGTTGTTACCCGTGGGGACACGAGATTAGATAAAACTGGCTGCTATGGGACACAGCCTCTTGGGTTTAGGTTCTAATTGCTCTGTCCTGTATGGTCAGTACAGGATCTGTCTAAAAATGGCCAGAGCCTGAGTTCCCCCAGGATTCAGAGGAACTTGGAGTATCAGGATCTTCAGTTGTGGGGGAATCCATGCTCCCAGAAACAGAGCTCATTTAAAGCCAGTGTGAATGGTGGAATCTAAAGCCCATGATGTGACGAGGAGCCACCTCTGGTCCCTCACTGACATCCCATGGTTGGTTGGTTGGTGAGCTGGACTTTGAAAAGCCTTGTCTGATTGTTGGCATTGGAGAATTTAGTGGGTAGACTTGCTAGGACCCTAGTGGTGACGCTTGCTGTGGTTCCAGGTTCCTTTCCCCACCATGGTGGCCCTGCTCTGCATGTGGTTCGGTATCTCCTTGCCCTTGGTCTACCTGGGATACTACTTTGGATTTCGCAAACAGCCATATGATAATCCTGTGCGGACCAATCAGATTCCAAGGCAGATCCCGGAGCAGAGGTGGTACATGAACAGATTCGTTGGGTGAGTGGCAAATGTGTAGTAAATCTGGTGGTTTATTAGAAGACTTCCCCAAGTCCCTCTGCCCACTGTACAAGTCAGCCATCTGGTGGTCTCTGGACATCACAGGTGAATTGCAGGTGCGTGGGCAGCCCCTCCCACTGCACTACACTTATTGTAACATTGTGCTGCTTAGAGAAATAGTAAATGTACCCTGGTCTGTATCTTAGTACCTCCTAACTACCTACCTAATGAGATTTATTAAGTGCCAAGAAAGCAGGAATTGCTCATTTAATTGTGAGAGACTTATTCCAGCAGCATGGAGGTTAAGTCCATTAATGGCTATTAGCCAGGATGGGTAAGGAATAGTGTCCCTCACCTCAGTTTGTCAGAGGGTGGAGATGGATGGCAGGAGAGAGATCACTTGATCATTACCTGTTAGGTTCACTCCCTCTAGGACACCTGGAATTGGTCACTGTCAGTAGACAGGATACTGGGCTAGATGGACCTTTGGTCTGACCCAGTCTGGCCGTTCTTATGTTCTTAGCAGTATCCTTTTGACCCTAAGTGTATCTGGGTCTGGGTGGTGGTTTTCTAATCTTTGAGTAAAGACAGTCATGTTTTGCTGGTGACAGAATTTCTCCCTCACTCATAGGATTCTTATGGCTGGCATTCTCCCTTTTGGAGCCATGTTCATTGAACTGTTCTTCATCTTCAGTGTAAGCACCAAATCCACCTCTTTTTAAAATAAGAATCCTACCGCTTCTGCCTTGAGCCTTTAAGGAGAGAGGGATTGTCCACCTGGAGTAGACCTATCTTGGTGTGTGCAGGGAGTGGGTAACAGCTTTGCTGCCCCTCTGTGGCCCTGTGAAGGGGAAGCACTGGACCACAGGTCTTCCAGACTGTTTTCTTGCTGGGATTCTTGGAAGATGTCGTGGGTTAGATTTGATCCTACAGAATCTTTTTGGGTTATTCTTGGCTAAGGACAGCCAGGATGAAGGGATGCCCAAGCTTTTCAGATGAGACAAGTGCAGTTCCTTCCCATTTCTCACCTTCACATGGAAGTGACCAGAAGAAATTACAGAGGTCTTGTTACTTTGGAGAACAAAGACCTGCTCCATGAGCAAGAATCCTTATCTTGGGAAGGAAGGTGTCACCATGATGGCTCTTCCCACCTCATACTGTGTCCCTGAGATTGCTTGGCCCCTTTCCCTTAGCTTTTCAGGGTCCAGGCAGCTATTTCTTGCCTAGCTTTGTGAATTTGCTCTTCCAGCCTAATGCCTTTCAAGGCATGTTGTAAAGTATAACAGGCTTCATGTATCTGCTAGACCAATGGTTCCCAAACTTTAACAACCTGTGAACCCCTTTCACCAAAATGTCAAGTCTCGCGAACCCCCTCCTAAAAAGGAATATTTCCAGGGATTTTCTCCTTTACCTGAGTATAAATTATAAAAGCAGCGATCTTGGAAATATAAAATTTGTTTTTATGACATGCTTATTACACACTATTTATTATTAATTATTATTTATCATTACAGTATTTTTATTACATTATGAAAATGGCAGCACTCTTCCAAGATCTCACTTTCGTAGCTTGTATCACTTTGAATAAGCCTGTTATAAGACAAGGCTCCTATGTTTCATCAAGGAGTATCAGATGTGAAACAGCATGAAGGTATCTAAGAAGCCAACTCAAAGAGTTCCTCTTATACAAGCATTCAGGTCTTGAGCAGTTCAAGCAAACAATACACGTTACAACAAAGCTTAAACTTGTTCTTCATAATAATTTTAAAAACAATACTAGCTGCCTCTTTAATTTTAAAAACGGCAAAAAATATCCACCTCCCTTTCCATTTCTTATAAGGAGTCTTGAAGTTTAAATCTCCTCAGTGTGATAGAGATGCTTGCTTTGATCTGCTTAGCTCTTGGAAGTCCAGGGGCTCCGGGCTGCTGGTCCCGTACTGCCCAGGGTCCCTAAGGACAGCTCTGTCCGCCATTAGGGATTTTTTTCCCGAGAACCCCCTGTAACGTTTCGCGAACCCCCAGGGGTTCACGAACCCCAGTTTGGGAACCACTGTGCTAGACCCACCCTAGAGCAAACCACTTACTGTTACTTGGGTCAGCTGTTATGAAAAGTTAGATTAATGTCTATTGAGTTACACCAGTATCTTCTGGTGCAGTGTTGTGTGAGGAACTTACGCTGTCTTTGTTTCAGGCGATCTGGGAGAACCAGTTCTATTACCTCTTTGGCTTTCTCTTCCTGGTTTTTATAATCCTGGTGGTATCCTGCTCCCAAATCAGCATCGTTATGGTGTACTTCCAGCTGTGTGCTGAGGTGAGACATACCCCTGTTGCAGTTTCAGTAGCTATTTGTGAACAGACCTTGTGTCTTTCAAGAAGTGCTGTTACTTGATTGTTACTTCACCACAGAAGTCTAGTCCGCTGATGTGAGGCCCAAGCTTATAAGGTGCTGAATGCCTCAACTCCCACAGACTTCAAAGGGTGTGAGGTTGCTGAGCACCTTGCAGGATGGGGCCCAGACTCTGTCTCAAAGGAAGCTGCAAAAGACAGGTGCAGGAAGACTCGTTTCAAGTATAATTATTTCCTGGAGAAATACCTCCAATCTGCAGATATTTGAGGGAGAGCTCTGTCTTGTTTCCCATGGCATATGCCACAACAGTGGCCTGGCAAGGTGCTGGCTTTGTTTCATTGTTCATTATTTGTTCTCTAATATACTTAAGACAATTTGTAAATGATTCATAGTAGTTTCTTCTTTGTAAGATGAATGAATCCCCAAATGGTGGCTTTCCTTTGAAAAAAGGAGGGTGGTAACCTACCTGCCTCGGGGGATAATTCGTACCCCACCTGGACCAAGGAGGCACTGTGGGTCATGTGTACCTAGGAGCCCAAGAGGGAAATGAAGTCCTTGGAATAATGCAGTCTCTCTCTTCTACCCTGTCAGGATTATCGCTGGTGGTGGAGGACCTTCTTGGTTTCTGGAGGATCTGCCTTCTATGTACTGATTTATGCCATCTTTTACTTTGTGAATAAGGTATTATCAGTCCCCACTGTGTAAAAGCTCTGTCTTCCCTGAGGGCATAGTAGAATTTGAAGAGAGAATACCTATTGGGTCATCTGGTTCTAGTCCATCCCCCTGCCAGTGCATGGCTATCCTCTGCAGTATCTTCTTTTGTTCATTGTCTAGTGCTCTTTTGTGTCTCTAAAGATGATTCTGTTAATTACACTATTTAAGTTCAAGAAAGTTCAGGTACTTGTAGACTCCAGTCTGGCCTGCATCCACTTATGGGGAGTAATGTTTGCTTAATGTTCTCAAACGCTGCCTTGGGGGGATCATCCTTAGCTGGGGTGAAATTAATTCAGGTTGGGCTTTACTCCTCCCCCTCCCCCCACCACCTCCACCACCACACACACTCTGCCAGTGAATCCCAGCTATGACTTGGAGGGAGCTCCATCTTCTAAGGGGAGAGGAATTTAGCTTCCATGTCCAACTTATCCTGTGCTTTCTTTTCTCACTCTGCTTCCCCCGACCATCCTCTTGTGGAAGAGGAATAGGCCATTAACTGAGCTGGGAAGTTGACTCTTAGCATCACTTTGTATTAAGGCTCACTTTGCTTTTTCTCGTCTATTCTAGCTGGATATCGTTGAGTTCATTCCCTCCTTACTCTACTTTGGCTACACTGCTCTCATGGTCCTGTCTTTCTGGCTCCTCACTGGCACCATTGGCTTCTACGCAGCCTACATGTTTGTCCGTAAGATCTACGCTGCGGTGAAAATAGACTGAAGATGCACAGACTCAGCACAAAGCAGACACCTCTGTGTGCATTTCCTCCTGGAAAGGAAGAGGGGGATCCTTTCCCAGTTTTTTTAAGGAAACAAAACCCAATGGGGGAGTGACGAGAGAAATAAATAACTCCTGCTCATTTTGGAATGTAACTTTTGGCACAGCGTACACGGATTCTGGGGCTACTTCTGGGGGGAGGGGTGTGTAGATACCTTGCATTTTAAGTTTATTATTTTATTCCAGTTTTGAGGGATTTTTAGCAGAAAAATATCCCTCTATGTAAGTAAGCCCCTTTTTTGCTCATTCATTCTTTTGTTTATGTTGAATAACGAATGGATTTGAGACAGCAATGGAAACATTTGGGAAACATTTTTTTTTTTTTTTTTTTTGCCCTTTTTGCACTTGGGTTCAGGGGGTGTCTTCAGACCAATAACACACAGGGTTTGTCTCCTGTCTTGGTTCTGCTTGGAAGAGGTGGAGGGTGCTTCAGTCCGTGGTGAGCTAGGAGGATCTCAAAGGCTTCCCCTGCATGAATGAGTCTGGCATGCTTTGACTACAGCGATTTCAGTTCCAACTGGTTTACAGTTCCATGGAGGTGCCATTCAGAATCTGGCAAGTGCAATTTCACTCTGAGAGGGCTTGAGAACCGTAACCCTCGGCATCATTTCTCCCTCCCCCTACTTTTGGACAGCGTATAACATCCCAGATGCATCAACTGGAGGGGCTCAGAGGAGGGCAGGAGTGATTCGCTTCTGGAAGAGCTGAGTCACCTTTACTGGCAGCGCGAAGAAGCAGAACATGGAGTTGTACCAGAAGCAGCGTAAATACTTGTTGATTCTAGAGCACAAGGCCCTGTACCCTGGAGAACATTTATGAGGTGGCCACATGGTTTTGTTCCATTAATTGCTTTGGCCATCTGAGGAAACGGGATAGTCATACTACTTAGGAGAGGCCTCTGAGGTTGGGTAAAGCCCTGTGTAGAGAAACTCATTACTGTGTTGCTTTAGTGCCAAGAAATCTCTGCATCAGTGTGGGGACATGTCTACTACAAAGTGCATGGAGGCCATCTGGAAGTGGCCGGGGGAGATGAAGTGAGTGGTTCCTGAGGATTTCCTCCCACTTCTATTTCTTAAAGGAGAGGTATGCGTCCCACCTACTCTGTCTCTTGGCTGGTCCCGCTCCCAATTCCTGTCTCCTGTTCTCAGACACTTTGCCTCCAGGGAGCAGGGACGATTCACACCTCAGTAACCTGTATTCCGCTCTTCGCTGCCAAATGTGATGAGCCCTCAGGAATAGCCCAGGAGTGCTATTCTATAGGGGGTTCCTCCTTTCCGGTAGTTGGATGCCTTCCTCTGGCCATGGGAGGCACTTTTAAAAATACATTTGAATTTTTATTTGACTCATTTAAAACAAAACTACGGCTGCTGGCAAATCTAGTCCCAAATTGCAGTGAAGCCTCCCTCCATCCCCAGATCTATGGGGTGACTTTAGTCAGAGCTATAAGAATTCTTTTTATTTCTTCACCAGGACAGGGGGAAAAATCTCCAACTATTCTGCTCTGTCACAGGTGACAGTGATACGATTCAAAGACAGATTAGACGCGACTCCAAACAAAACCTCTCTCTGTTGCTAACAGTGAGTCACACATATTTGAGGCTTTCTATACCCTGGGTATCACCTTAACAGTCCATACTGTGTAAATGGTTCTGACTTTTAATGGTGACCTTTCACTTCCCAAGCAGGAAGAATGGAAAACTAGAATCCCAAACCATTCAACTTCTCCTGTGCATTGCTTCTCACCTAATAATCTTCAGTTACCCAGCCCAGAATCAAGGATGGAAAGGGGGGGCCCGGGATACACTAATTAACTGTGGTGTGGGATCCTTAGTAATCTCTGATTTGAAATATGTTTCTCTCTGAGATTCTGGTTGATTTCCTAGTGGAGAATTTAAGCCAGCATTAATTTCTCTCCCTCCATACTGTTTTCTCTGTATTCTACTTTGTATTTTTAATTAATGTATGTATTCTGTGTCCTATTGTAAATAAATATGCCATTGTCCTGTTATCCTAGTGTCCTGTGTGAGCAGCCTTTCATGGTCTTCTCTCCCATAACACCTGTTTTGACCCAATCTTTTGTTCTTAAAATACGATAAAGCTTGATGTATAATTGCAATAGGAAGTACAATGTGAATCTACTTAGGGAGAAAACCTAACTTTATTACCCCAGCAAACGTCACTGTAACGTTTAGGCTCTTCCCAGTGCAGCATATTCTTCATACTGAGGGGAAATGAGGCACAATCATGTGGTTAAAACATGAGTTGGGGTTCTGTTCTTGGCTATGATTCTAACTTCCTGTGTGATGTTAGACAAATCACTTAACCTCTCTCTGCCAGTTTTGTCACCTGTAAAATGGAGAGGATACTCCTCTGCCTCCTATGGTTGGGGTTAAGGAATTAGGCATCACATTTATAAAGTGATTAGAGATGTGATGGAAGAGCGGTTTGAGTTCAGAAATATTGTTGCAGCATGGTGCAGGCATGTGAAGTTATTAAAGCAGCAATTTCACCCTAAATCTCAGTGACTGGCTAGGCAGGGGCTCTCTTTTCACTCTTTGGCTAAGTCTCCCAACAGTATCCTTCCCAAAAACAGGAGAGCTGGATCTCCATCTTTAGCTCTGATTACTATGGTGGTGATGTCCAGGCCCCTACAGGGCTCACCACAGACTGACTTGTGGTTAGGAAGTGACAATTTGCTGTTGTCTATACGATGAACCTGGGCTGGGCTGAGCTGTACAACATAATACCTGTTCCTTTCTGCCTGCAAAGTTCTGTCAAGCTAAGAAATTAGATCTGCACCTGCCTTTCTGCATGGATCAATGAATGGTTTGCTTGGATGGTAGATGGCCACTTACTGCCACTCTCTTTTGTTGGGGTTTCTGCAACATTGTTTAGCCTGGAAAACAGCAATTTGAAGTCTAGGAAGTGACTAACCGAGGTTTTAGGGTCATGAAGAGAATGTCTGAGAGGATGCATGGTTCCTCCCACGTTCCCAGTTATTTTGTCTGGATCTGGCCACAGTTGTTGGGCTAGTGAAGCTTTTAAGAAATGAAGACCGTGTTAAAAGTCTCTGGAGAGGAAAGGTGCTAAATTCTTCACTTACATGGAAATCCAGGTTCATTTGTAGGGCTCTTAGCTGCTTCTGAGGGAGAACTGTAGAGGTTAAAGCAGAACTAGTTCCAGGCTTGTAGGTTGTAACATTCCTGGCTCTACCAATGAGTTGCTGTGTGTGGTTGTGCGAGTTACTTAGCTTCCCTGGGTCACTGGTCCCACCTATGTAAAATAGATGATACCCATGTAATGGGTACTGTGAAACTTTAGTGTTTGAAGTGCTCTTAATAGTGCCTTACATGTAAAGTATTATTTATGATACAATAGCTGTTTAACTTCCATCCCTTGGTGCTTAAGGGATTGCCTCTGGTAACTTCTGATTCCTGATATAAAAGCTTCAGCAGAACCTGTCAAGGACTTGTCGCCATATCAGTTTATCACATTATCAACAAACTGTCAAAACAAGATTGTCGCTAGTACTTTTAATAGGGATTTTTTTGAGAAGCATTACAGGTTCTGTCTACACTACAAATTCAAGCAGGCTATGGATAGTAATGTGAAAAGTTCCTGCAGTGGTTTAGTGTTGCAGTGTGGATGTATGACTTTTAATCTCATTCAATACTTGAGTACAATTCCAGCCTACACTACAAGTTGATACTGCATTGATAACTGTGTTATAAACAGATTCCCGCTATGACTGATTTTGTATAGTATAGATGGGGGAATTAGCTAGCATGCTTCCTTGAAAGTAAACAAGAGTTTTTTGTTCACTCTGGTCAGGAAAATGGTGCTAGAACCTTAGTAGCAGGAACAGTCATGTTTCAACACTGCTGGTAGCTTTAATCAAGTGGCCAGGGTGTTTAAACATAAGCCTCCAAAATACTGTATTCTTGTCCCTTCATTGGTCCAAGATAAACAGAACCAGCCCCATAAAGACACACACAAGAGAACTGCCTTTTTATCCATTTGCTCAGATATACTCCATATATGTGAAGGCAGAAATTAAAAGTACATCCAGATCCATGTCGAGAATTGGAGCTTTGTGATCTACCCTGGACTTCAACCTCTGAGAAAAAGTGCAAGTTCAAGGCAGACAGTTCAAACGTTTTTAATAAACAACTTCATTATAAAAAACCCTTTCATTTTGGACTTAATTCTGTAAGACAATGGAAAAGCTACTTTAACAGAGATGAGCTGTACATTTCCTAATGGCACTTGATATTTTACAATTCAAAACCTTGTTTTATATAAAGCCCAAAAATACTCCAATAAAGAGGTTATTCACTGTGTGTATAAAAGTGCTAGAAAGTTTCTTTAAAAAAATACTCCAGCTTTAAGGAGGGGAAGCTGCTGGCCTTGACAGCTGTGGCTGTAGGAATGGAAGTTGGGAACTGGTGCTCTGAAAGTGCAGCATGGAAAAGGTTGAGTTGCATCCCTGGTAAAAGAAAAAAGATGCTGACTCCCTTCCACCCCAGCTACAGTAGCAGAGAAATTCCAAGTTGCTGCTTTTGGAAAGGGGTGCTCCCAGCCTTTGGACCAAATACTGCCCTTGGAGGTCCCACTCCTGTGTACCGGAACCTGAAGGCAGAATTTGTTCCACTGGTGACAAAGTTCACCCTGACTTGAAGAGGATCCTCAGCCTGACTTTGCCATAGCTGTGAAGGCCACTGTAGCTTTTCCTCCAGCAGCAGGTTCAGAGCTTGACTACTTCGAGGGGTGAATCTGGGTGGTTTCCAGAAGTTCCCTGCACTGTCCCTTTTGTCACCACCCAGTTTTTGAACCTACACTAAGGCAATTCTTTCTCTTTTTTTAGTTAAATATCCTTGTTAAAGTAAAATATTGATACAAATGTTACAAAACTTTCTAAAACAGCTCCTAGTTATTAGGGAAAACTACAAAAAAAATCAGGAACTTAATGAGGCACTAAAAAGGGGGTGGGGAGAACTCATAAGCTCAAGACATGAGGCTTCCAGCACAAGCAATTAAATCTGCTATGCAGACTTCAGCGTTCAGAAAGAACCTGAATTTCAGCTCTTTCTCCAAACTTGCCAAAGGCTACATCTCTGAGCAGGATGTGCTGGTGAATTCCACAAGCAGAAACCTTAATGGTACATTACCTTGAAAAGGAACAACAAAATGCAGAAAGAAATTGGGTTTGCTGGTGCAGATGCCAAATGTGAACTGATCTTTTCAGCTGGATATCTAATTTAACTAGGACCCATTCTCTGAGTGACACATGTGGTGGTATTCCTGTACTGCAGGA